CGGGCCTGCCGGTGTGGCGGCGGGCTTTTCCCTCCCCTCCGCTTTTGAAGGCGCCTTTCCCACCCCGGAGTGACACCCAGCGGAAAAGGCGGCTCCTCCCGACGGCAGCGGGGAAAGCCCAGAGACCGCGACGTCGTTGGGAGCGGAGCCGAGCGGCCGCCCCGCCCGGACCGGCCCGGCCCCCGCCCCGCCACCGGCACGGGGCTGCGCTCCCCGGCGGCAGAGGAGGGTCTGCAGCCGTGCGGAGCCACCGGGGGTGGGCTAACACAGGGGGTAACGTGACAAACGCCGGGCAGCGATTTCAGCGGGGTAATGCCGGCGGCGGCTCCCGGGGAAGAGCAGCGAAGGGCTCCCGTCTGTGCCTTCGCCGTTCAAGGGCAATGAAGCCGGTTTTCAGCAACACCCTGGTCTGTGGAACCATCAGCGCTCCCTTAAACAAAGGAGACAGCCCGACGCACAGCCCCTACACAGCCTCAGCCCTGCCCTCGGCATCGCTCCCCAACCGCTGCTCGGGTGCGCACACCTGGGCTCTCCCCAGCACTGACACTCACACCTGGAGAAAACAACCACCCAAACCCCACTGCCCAAAGGGAACGCTGCAACCGCAGCGTCGCTGGGGAATTCTAAAAGCAGAGCAGGAAGAAAGAAGCCACCAAACCGGCAAACAGCTGGGACGACTTTCCATGTTACTCTTTGTTGCCGCGCATTTGCTTATTGTTTGGATTCTCCCCCTAAAGTTCACTTTCCAATTCATTTATTTGAACAGAAAAGTAAAGTGACCTAAAGTTAATATTAAACTATTTAAAGTCCTTTGATGTATTAGATTGTAAATCAAAATCCCACAAAACCGAATTTTGCCAGTGTCAGCCAAACGCTGAAAATTTCCTATTAAGTTTGAGAGCACTAGGTTTTTTTAAACACATATTTTTACATGGCCATACCCGCCCCCCCCAAAAAAAAAATAATAAAAAAAACCCCACACCTGCTCACAATAAACTTGGTAGCTAGGAAGGAAGCTGGTCACACTATAGCATAGGTCAGTGGCAGCACATTAGAAAAAAAATAATCCATAGTAGTGATAGCTTTAATGGTGTTTATCTCTGATAACATTTTAAAAAGTATTTCCTCTTATAATCTTTTCCTCTTGAAGTTCACAGTTGATTTTGATAAATTGTCAAGAGGTAAACAATTAAGGTAAAGGCAATTACAATTATTTAGCTGGTTTACCTTTCCTGGAGGTAACTGGAAGACACTCAAATCAGTAACAAAGGCAACTTTCTAGCCACAGGCTGAACAATAAAAGGGATTAACATCTTAAACATTGATTTGTATAAAAAATAGTCCCTTCTCCTTAGAGCTTAATATATACATGGTAAGATAAAGCTCATTCCCACAACCTACACCAATTTTAACAGAGGCACATGCTAGAGATCTGAACACCATTTGTGATTGTCTCAATCTGGAGTTCGTTGACATTTGGAGCTAAATTCCCCAGCACAAATACCTGCATCTCCAGCTGCTGGTGCACACAGAAGGAGCCTCACACACGGCTTGACCAAGATAAGAGAACTCCTGACTTTTCAACTGGAGTCTTTTGCATCTACTTCTTCACTCCTGATTAAACACACCTCACATGAGGAGAGACTTACATTTGAAATTGTCAAACTAAAACATGAACTGGTTGAAATGTATTCATCTATACCAAACAACTTAAAATACTGAGTTGATGGAAGGCACAGGACATCGAACTAAACCTACAGAAGAGCAATTTCTAGTAAATCACCTGTTCAGTTTTGGTTGCTGCTCCATTGCTGTAAGTGAATCGCCATTTGCTTCCAAGTAAATGCACTAACCAGTAGTACGGAAACTTGCCTCGGACTTAGGAGTCCCACATGTTGTTCTGTAACAAGCATTCAAGAACTTTTTTCCACCATGAAACCCTGCATTGTAACACTTAAGGACAGTAACACATAGTATATATATATATATTTCAATGTGAGGGTTTTTTTTGCTTTTTCTCAGTGCTAACACTGATTTGTAATATATCAAAGGAAAAAGTGAGACTACTGTGAAAAGCCAAATATTTTCATCAAATATACATGAGAAAGGGACTAAATTCTAAATCCATTCTACTTTGGCCTTCCGTGACAAAGTTCTCTGAAGTGTTGGATGCTGGATTTTTAACCCAGCTCTGAACACTGATGGACATACTCTGCTAATGTATAGAACTCACAACAACACAACCGATTATTCCTGGTGAAATTCACCTAAGTATGTGATCAGAAGTGAACATGCACAACATCCACTTAAACTTGTACTCTGTGAGCCAGCAAATATTTACAGCCATTTAGAATACACTTCATTTGACCAAAACCATCAGGAGACTAGGGTAAGAGGAAATACTGACAGTTTCATGGCAAAAGAACAAGCTATCCCAATTTAGTTGTGCAGGCTTTGGCAGTAAAGGATAACAAATATCATTTTCCTAGGTGGAAGTCAAAACTGAACTTCCAGAAATATTGCTTACATTACTATTTTGATAAAACACATTCACCACAGCTACCACAGCACACTATATATCCCAGTGAGGTTTTACTTTATTTTTCTTTAAATATATATTTAAACCACCGCAATTATATATAATACTCCATGTTTGCTACTTTTATGGAAGTTTCACTAAATACTATGCAGGTTCTGCATCCGTGTCCTGAAATATCTGATGTGCAGATGCCTCCTACTGTCGACTCTTAAATACTACAACCTGAAAACACTGCACCTGATCCCTGAGAGTCTCTACATCTAAGATTCATTTATTCCTCATTGAATTTTTCATTTTTCCACATACAAAGTTGATATTGGTAACAGAAATGTTTGGTTGTTAAATACACAGCTCTCCTATATCATAAGCTCCCTAACTTAGACTCAAGTAGTTGAAGCTTTGCATGTGTAACCTTAATTAAAGAGTAATTATGGTAAGAGTAATTAAAGTGTTCTTTTTAAGCCCCAAGGCAAGTTAAACATTGTTTTGGGAAGCCACTGTGAAAGACTAAAAAGCCCACAATTCTACTAGTGTTTTCCTGGGTAATGAGTGTGCAGACAGCAGCTTGACACCAACTATTAGTTTCCACAGGATGCTAAACCTACCTTAAGCAACAAACTCTTAGCATCATCATTTCTTCCATTACTGAGAAGCGGCTAAGCCAGAAAAAGGATGAAGAAGGAACCCTAAAATAATAATGAGCTGGTCACTGCTAGACAGAAGGAAAATGAGGAAAAAAAAAAAAGTAGCCAAGGGCTTAGAAATACATGACAAAGAGATGTGCTGCAATATGCGGTTAAAGCAATTAGACAATCAGTGGTTACTTCTTAAAAATATTTTCTTGACCTTCACCATCTTCCAGTAATTCCACTGGAACTTGCTGCTGACCAAAGACTGAAGCACTGAACCTGTGACCCATGGGGCAGACTTCTCCTTTCCCAAATTCCATCTCACCAATACATGTGTATACTCCACAGTAAAACAGGTATAGATGGATGGATGGAAGATTTACTGTAACTATCAACCACATTTCCCCAGGTGTTAGCATTCCCTGTAACCCACAGCAGCACCAAATGAAGAAACTGGGCACAACACACAGACTCCTGGCATTACAGCTGCTCCAGCCTGGCTCCTCCAAAGTCCCTTGGCACTTCAGAGATAGCTGTCTTCTAAAATATTAAAAAAGCACTTAAGTGCACATCGTAAAGCAAAGCCAGCCTGTAACAAGTTTTAAGTGACATGATGTTCCTTAGATTTGATCACCTAGTGCTGAGTAAAACACGCTGTGAGTTCAGAACATACTGACTGCTTCTCATCAGCTCCAGGGTAAACATAAACAAACAAGATTGGGCAGATACTCACAACACTTAAGCATATAGAAACACAGCTCACAACATTTAAGTCCAGGAGCTAAGCCCCTTCTGTAGCTGCAGACACAACTCCTCTTGTCAACTCCCCATGCTTAAGTCAGATACCTGTGAAAACAAGAGCAGCCCTTCTGCTAAACATCCACACTCCTTGTGCACCCACTTCTGGCACACACCAAACAGATCCAAAGGTGGAATAGCTTATCATAAAATGGCTTCAGTTGGAAGGAACCTTAAAGATCACCTGATTCCAACCGCCCTTGCCATGGGCAGGGACACCTCCCACCAGACCAGGTTGCTCAAAGCCCCATCCAGCCTGGCCTTGAGCAATTCCAGGGATGGGGCATCCATAGCTTTCTAGGGCAACCTGTTCCAATGCCTCACCACCCTCCTAGTGAATTTTTTTCCCCTATTATCTAATTCAAATCTACCTTCCAGTTTGAAGCCATTACCCCTCATCCTATTGCTACACTCTTTGATAAGGAGTCCCTCCCCATCTCTCCTGTAGGCCCCCATCAGGTATTGGAAGGCCACTACAAGGTCTCCCTGGAGCCTTCTCCTCTTCAGCCTTAACAACCCTAACTCCTTTAACTTGTCCTAATAGGAGAGGTGCTCCATCCCTCTGATCATTTTTGTGGCCCTCTTCTGGAATTGTTCCAGCAAGTCCACGTCCTTCTTGTGCTGAGGACTCAAAAGCTGGACACCGTACTCCAGGTGGGGTCTCAAGAGAGGAGAACAGAAAGGAAGAATCACCTCCCTCGCCCTGCTGGCCACACTTCTTTTGATGCAGCCGGCTTTCTGGGCTGCGACTGTACTCTGCTGGTTTGTGTCCAGCTTTTCATCAACCAACACTCCCAAGTCATCTCCTCAGGGCTGCTCTCAATCCATTCTCTGCCCAACCTGTATTTGTGCTTGGGATTGCTATGACCCAGGTGCAGGACCTTGCAACCTCGCCTTGTTGAACTTCATGAGGTTTGCATGGGCCCACCTCTCAAGCCTGTCCAGGTCCCTCTGGATGGCATCCCTTCCCTCCAGCATGTCGACTGTGTCACACAGCAAACTCAATCCCACTGTCCATGTCACCAAAGATGTTGAACTGTACTGGTCCCAGCATCGACCCTTATCTTTTGCTTACTGTGCTCTGTCTTGTCGGGCAACCTGTTCCAATGCCTCACCACCCTCCTAGTGAATTTTTTTCCCCTATTATCTAATTCAAATCTACCTTCCAGTTTGAAGCCATTACCCCTCATCCTATTGCTACACTCTTTGATAAGGAGTCCCTCCCCATCTCTCCTGTAGGCCCCCATCAGGTATTGGAAGGCCACTACAAGGTCTCCCTGGAGCCTTCTCCTCTTCAGCCTTAACAACCCTAACTCCTTTAACTTGTCCTAATAGGAGAGGTGCTCCATCCCTCTGATCATTTTTGTGGCCCTCTTCTGGAATTGTTCCAGCAAGTCCACGTCCTTCTTGTGCTGAGGACTCAAAAGCTGGACACCGTACTCCAGGTGGGGTCTCAAGAGAGGAGAACAGAAGGGAAGAATCACCTCCCTCACCCTGCTGGCCACACTTCTTTTGATGCAGCTGGC